ATATATATTCAGTAGTCCTCCAAAATTTCTTGAAGTATTATTTATTATCATTATTTATTTTTGACTTTTTTGTCTTTTTCGTTTTTTTGTCTTTTTTTTTTGTCTTCTTTTTTCTTTTTTTTTCTTTTTTTGTCATCCTTTTTTTTTTTTTTTTGTCTTCCTTTTTTTTTTTTCTTTTTTTGTCTTCTTCCTTTTTTTCTTTTTTTTCTTTTTTTTTTTTTTTTTTTTCTTCTTTTTTTTTCTTTTTTTGTCTTCTTTTTTTTTTTCTTTTTTTGTCTTCCTTTTTTTTTTTTTTTTTTTCTTTTTTTTTTTTCTTTTTTTGTCTTCTTTTTTCTTTTTTTTTCTTTTTTTTGTCTTCCTTTTTTTTTCTTTTTTTTGTCTTCCTTTTTTTTTCTTTTTTTTGTCTTCCTTTTTTTTTCTTTTTTTTGTCTTCCTTTTTTTTTCTTTTTTTTGTCTTCCTTTTTTTTTCTTTTTTGTCTTCCTTTTTTTTTTTTTTTTTTGTCTTCCTTTTTTTTCTTTTTTGTCTTCTTTTTTTTTTTCTTTTTTTTTTCTTCCTTTTTTTTTTTTTTTTTTCTTCTTTTTTTTTTCTTTTTTTGTCTTCCTTTTTTTTTTTTTGTCTTCTTTTTTTTTTTCTTTTTTTGTCTTCCTTTTTTTTCTTTTTTTGTCTTCCTTTTTTTTTTCTTTTTTTTGTCTTTTTTTTTCTTTTTTTTGTCTTCCTTTTTTTTTTCTTTTTTTTGTCTTCCTTTTTTTTTTCTTTTTTTTGTCTTTTTTTGTTTTTGGTCTACTTGAAATTTCTGGGCTACTCTGTTTTTGACTTACAAACTAATGCTCTTATGAAAACATTAATCCATATGTTCTCCCTCCATCTAGGAGTTATTTAGCAGGTTACAAATAGGCTTTCTAGCCTTGAATGGCAGTATTGAGACTAGAAGAAAAACCCTGAATTCCAAATAAGGACAGTCAAAATTGCTTACGTCGTGAAGACACATGGCATTTTGAATTTTTAAAATATAATTAAAAATAAAAAAATTGACAAAATAAATATCACTTTTCTCTATCATAACTCAACTTGATGAATTTAAACACAGTACTAGAGTGGCAGTTAGGTCTCGTCATTTTACAGTTGAAATGGCTAGATGTAGGTTTAAGTTCTATGCTAAAAGTTTCTGCTATTGCACTTCTCACTTGTTGAACTCTCTTTTGGCTTCTTGTTTCCCAGTCAACTTTAATGTGAAAAGAAATTAAATGCAGTATCAATTGTTATATTATTTAGCCTTAATTCTTCTTCTTTTATTGCTCTCTCTCATTAAGTTTTTTTTTTTTTCTCTTATTTTTTTAACACTCAGTAACCCCTTGCATCTTGGTGGCTTTATTGCCTTGCTTGGAGTGAAATGATTAAAAAAACAATTTTTTTTTCTTTGAATAATTTCTTGTTTGGGCCAACAATTTTTCAATACCCTATCATAATACTAGTATATATCAAGTCTTATTTATTTTGCTTATATACCACATTATAATAGTCTTATGTTGTCTGAATTCTTTAAATGATGCATTTCTGCCTAGTGTTTCTACCTCTCTTTTAAACAAAGCCTTATTGAAACAGACACTTGGTACCCTCGACAGGATTTTGGGATATATTCATAATTCTTTACTTCTAATGTTGGATCCTCAAACCCAAAGAAATCTTAATAGGAGAGTGTTTATCTCCCCGCTCTTAAACCTTTTTCCTCCGTGGGAAAGATATGAATGCTACTCTTCTCCCCCACAGCTAAGGGTAAGTAGCAGGACAGACTGGGTTCTATAGCCTTGGATGGCAACTGGTCTACCGCAGAAAGAAATGGTAACCTACTGCAGGAAAAAATCTGCCTCGTCAGTCACTTATCAAAAGGTACATGATCGCCTAAGCGTGTATCACGCATGGCACATAACTGACTGATAACCAGTTCCCCTCCCCTCCCCAACCTAATGGACTGTTCCTATCAACACTGGCAACAGCAGGAGCATAGACTTGTGTCCTCTCCTGTCCAGGGTGGATTGGGTCATTCTTTCTATGTTCTGTGTCCTTTCAGGATGTAGGCGATCATGGCTCCCCCCCCCACTACCCCTTGCTCCTTCCCTCTGCCACCTCCTCCAGACCACGTTCTGTCATCCACTTGCTTAAAGCCGCTAGGTATGTCACGTATTGTTTTCCCTTGTCTCTCTTTCCCTCCATTTGACCCATATCAGATTCTTCAGGCCCTCCTTCATCATGTGTCCCAGGAACTTCAACTGCTTCTTCCTGATGCTAAGTATAAACCTCTTCTTTGTTTGAATCTTCTCTAAGACCTCATCGTTGCTCACACACTCAGTCCATGATATTCTCAGTATCCTTCCGTCTCTCTTTCCCTTTCCCATAGAACCACATCTCCATCGCCTCAAGTTTCTTCATCTTTGAAGAAATCGTCCAACATTCGTTGCTGTAAAGAAGGATAAATGTCGTGTAACAGCTCGGTATTCTTTTCTTTGTTACCAAAGATATCTTCCTGTCTTGCAATACTCTGTCCAGCTTTTGGAATGTGTCCATGGCCATCCCAATACATCTACAGATCTGTATCGCATTTACTGTCCTCTGCTAGAACGCTTCCCAGATATTTAAACTGCCAAGTCTGCTTGATTCTAGTGTTCCTGACCAGCAAATTGCATTTCAGGCTTATCCTTTTATTGATGACCATGCACTCCATTTTCTTGTAGTTTATACTTAGTCCTTTTTTCTCACTCTCTGTCGCTACCTTCTGTAGGAGATTTTGTAATTTCTTTTCCACGTCTGCTTTCAGTACTGTCTCATCTGTGTATCTTTTGTTGTTAAAATTATGGCTGCCAATGCTAAATCTCAGTAGGGTTTCCAATTCTCTCAGAATTGCCTAGTTGTATAGGTTGAACAGGTCTGGTGAGAAGATGCATCCTTGCCTTACATCCTTTTCTATTTTTGTGAATTTGTTGAACTCATTTTCAGCTGTGATTTCTCTCTTGGTACTTTAACTTTGATTTGCCTTGAGAAATTACTGACATTTGAAACCAGACCTGTACTATTATCAGCATATAAAAGAAGAATTTTGCCTTTCATCTCCCTTCTCCCTTTAAATGGAGTTGGGGATAGGAAGGATACATCAAAATTTATTCTGTTTTTTTTTTTTTTTTTTTTTTTTTCTTTCTTTCCCCCTCTCTGATTTTCTAAAGTGATTTCTGGTTGAATTTTTTGGATGGGGAGTTATCATTTACAATATTTATATTCAGACTATTCTCCTCATCTTTGTCGTTGCTATCACAATGATTCAGCTATTGTACCCTCCACCCTTTATCAGGTATATACCAATCTGAGTAATCTACAGGGAATTCCGAAAGGACCCTTTATTTAATCTACGTGGTTAGACTGTTCTCGTTCCACTGCCCATGTCTAGGGATATCTCGTCTAGTTCTTATTTTTAATCCTGCTCAGTTATTGCTCTCCCTGTTTCCTCTCTTGTCCAAGTACACACAGCTCGACCCAGGGATTGAACTCACAAATACTATGTCACAAATTCCGAAATTAATCCTTCATTTAATCTACGTGGTTAGACTGTTCTCGTTCCACTGCCCACGTCTAGGGATATCTCGTCTAGTTCATATTTTTAGTCCTGCTCAGTTATTGCTCGCCCTGTTTCCACTCTTGTCCAAGTACACACTGCCCGACCCAGGGATTGAATTCACAATTACTATGTCACCAATTCCGAAATGAACCCTTTATTTAATCTACGTGATTAGACTGTTCTCGTTCCACTGCCCATGTCTAGGGTATCTCGTCTAGTTCTTATTTTTAGTCCTGCTCAGTTATTGCTCTCTCAGGTTCCACCAAGTCCAAGCTTGTGTAAAGAAAACATCAAAAAAAGATAAAATTTGTTAAGAGCTACAAAGGACAGGAAATTGTGGAGAGCCATGATCACCAACATCCTGAAGGGACAATGCACATAGAAGAATGTGTTCAATGAATATTTGTAGCATGATTAAAATTATTTCTCTCCAAATTTTGGGGCTTGCCACGTTGATCAGGTTTTGACCCTTTTGCCCTCCAGAGTGGAAATAATCTAATTTCATTTAATTTTAGCCAGTATTTTTCTCTTTTTTTTTTTTTTTTTTTTTTTTTTTTTACTGAAATTGAATTAAGTTTATATTTGTCTATATTTCTTAGATGATGTACTTATTTACCTTGTTTGGATGGTTGTCTTTATCTCTGTTGTTTTTAACGACACATGGACCAGTGGATAAAAGCATTGGTTGGATCCAGTGACTTGATCCAAAGAGTTGTGAGTTCAATACCTGGCTACTGCAGTGGTGAACAAAAAACTTGGAGGGTTGATTTAAAGGGAAATAACTGATATTGAGACATCTGGAAGAGGCACGGCATGTGGAACTAGAAAAATTTACCCCGGTCGACAAAATAAAGGGTTCAGTTTGAAATTCCTATCACCTGAAGAAAGCCAGAGCGTACAATGGTCTAAACGTCATGAATATGGCAACGAAGATGAGGACAACAGTCCAAACAATGTAAATAGTGTAAATAATTACAATACCTCATCACAGAAATATAGACAGATATAGAAGAAGGCCATAGCATACAATGGTCTAAATGTCGGGAATATGGCAAGAAGACGAGGACAAGAGTCCAAACAATGTAAATAAGTTACATATACATGGTTGAGCTGGCCACACCTCATCTCAGAGGCAGTAGGCGGGCTATTAGAGTTACAGAGGGAACATTAAGTCAGTGGAAAAGAACTATAGTGTAGCCAAAGGTTAGATGGTATGACAATCTGACCTGATATCTCGGTACCTCATGGCCCAGTAAGGCCAGATAGGAAGTGGTGGAGGTCTGTCAAGGAGGGGTTTCCTTCAACAAGAGTGAGAAGGCCCTGGCTCTGGATTTGGATTAATATTCAATAAATCCTGATATTTCTTTTTGGGATCAAAGTTATAACTTCATATAAATGCATCATATTAACACAGCAGATCAATCATCCAAAACAGCAATGCCTGGAGTGAGTAAGAAATGATACTGTGATTATAAGAATCTCCAGCTACCAAATTGTACAAGTATAGGGCTTTAACAAATTCGAATATGTCAAAGTTTTTCGTATTTACATTTTTATTTTCTAGGTCTTTATAGTACAAAATAGCATAAGAGACCGATTCAAAAATGTCAATGACCTTTGCAGAGGAATTGGGTTAATATTCTTAAATATGAAGATCTGCCTAGACATTTGTTGTTTGAGAGTTAACATTAAATAGAATTTATGGAAATTTTCTCGATGTAATTAATACAGAAAGGTTTATAGGATAACTATTCATTGTAACTTTTGTGAAGGCACAGCAGATTTGAATTTCAGCTGCATTCATTACATTCATTTAAGCACAAATACCCTCAGTAAAGTATGAATCTCTTCTCCCATCAGCTATGGGTTAAATAGCTGGGCAGACTGGTTCCCAGGGTCTTGGTTGGCAACTGGTCTAGGAGAAGGAAAACTGTTCAAATCAGCCTGGTGAGGGTCTGACTATCTTGTCCAGGAAATGCTTCTGAGGTGGCAACACATGTAACGTCCTTACAACCCTAAAGGGCTACGAGACTTGTGTTCATGACATATGGACTATTGCCCTCATTTTTGTTGTTGTTATCACAATGTTTTCAGCCATTGTGACCTCTGGCCTTTTAAAGTGAGTTGCATATTTCTCCATCATCCACCCTCGTTTCTAACTAGACATGTTTACGTTAATCACAAAATGTAAGGGGTGGTGGTAAAAAGCAAAAAATTTTTTTTCTTTTTAATTTCATTTCATCGCTTGCATGGGACCCAAAAGCCTGTAGACCACTAAAGTAATAGCGCATACAGAATTTTTTTTTTTTTTTTTCTTTTTTTTTTCTTTTTTTTCTCCCCCTTTCTGTTTTGTTTTTTCTCCCCCTTTCTGTTTTGTTTTTTCTCCCCTTTCCGTTTTTTTGTTTTTTTTTCTCCCCTTTCCGTTTTTTTTCTCCCCCTTTCCGTTTTGTTTTTTCTCCCCTTTCCGTTTTGTTTTTCTTTTCGTTTTTTTGTTTTTTCGTTTCGCCCTTTCCGTTTTTTTTTCTCGCCCTTTCCGTTTTTTTTTTCTCGCCCTTTCGTTTTTTTTTTTTCTTTTCCGTTTTGTTTTCTCGCCCTTTCCGTTTTGTTTTTTCTCGCCCTTTCCGTTTTGTTTTTTCTCGCCCTTTCCGTTTTGTTTTTTCTCGCCCTTTCCGTTTTGTTTTTTCTCGTCCTTTCCGTTTAGTTTTTTTCGTCCTTTCCGTTTTTTTTTTTTTCGTCCTTTCCGTTTTGTTTTTTTTCCTTTCCGTTTTGTTTTTTTCGTCCTTTCCGTTTTTTTTTTCGTCCTTTTTTTCCGTTTTGTTTTTTTCGTCCTTTCCGTTTGTTTTTCTCGTCCCGTTTTGTTTTTCTGTCCTTTTTTGTTTTTTCTCCTTTCCCCCTTTCCGTTTTGTTTTTTCTCGCCCTTTCCGTTTTGTTTTTTCTCGTCCTTTCCGTTTTGTTTTTTCTCGTCCTTTACGTTTTGTTTTTTCTCGTCCTTTCCGTTTTGTTTTTTCTCGTCCTTTCCGTTTTGTTTTCCGTCCTTTCGTTTTTTGTTTTTCTCGTCCTTTCCGTTTTGTTTTTTCTCGTTTTTTTTTTCGTCCTTTCCGTTTTGTTTTTTTTCCTTTCCGTTTTGTTTTTTCTCGTCCTTTCCGTTTTGTTTTTTCTCGCCCTTTCCGTTTTGTTTTTTCTCGTCCTTTCCGTTTTGTTTTTTCTCGTCCTTTCCGTTTTGTTTTTTCTCGTCCTTTCCGTTTTGTTTTTTCTCGTCCTTTCCATTTTGTTTTTTCTCGTCCTTTCCGTTTTGTTTAAAACAAAGTTTGGTTATGTGTAATAAAAGTATACTAATCAGTTTAATGTAATTATTTATACGGATATTCAAAAACAAATTTATGTAGGAAGGACCAAGATGCATTAGATTATCCTTCTTAAACCTTGAAAATGCCATTGAGAATTCTTATTTGAAATCCTGGCCAGAAGAGTTATTTTTCCATCAAACCAACTTGGCTTTTAATGGAACAGTAAAACAGACACAAAAATGAAAATCAAAAGGTCAGAGCAGTCTTTCAGCTGTTTTGGAGCTTTTTAAAGCCAGTGTCATATGGGCAGACATTCATTATCAATGGCTGTGTTTGTATCAGATTTTTGATAATAGCAAAGAGAATTGTCTAACAACAACAAAGGGTGACAACAATAATCTGAATGAACCAAAGGATAATGACAGTTACTTATCTAAAAAAAAAAAAAATGAATGACAAAAGGAAACATATTGTCTAAAAATATGAGAAATTTGCAAGCAATTCAAGTGTAGTCATCCTATTTTTGTTCCTGGTTAAAAGACTTGATTCAGATGATTTTTTTTTTTTTCTAAGCTTTCAATGTTAAATTTCTATTTCCGACACAAACTAAGTTTTTAGTGTCTACTCATATTTGAGTAGACACTGTTTATTTGCTCAACATATCCTGGGTATGACGATAAACTACATCTAACAGCAAGGCCTCTGATTGGGAGCTTTTGAGGTGTGTGGAACCACCTCTTAATTGCTGCTGTTCCCAGATCCACCATGAACTCACAGTGGTAGCACCTGTTAGTGTGCAACCTATGGGCAAATAGTTAACCTCCAAAATGGGGTCAAAACACTATCAAAGTATAAAAATACATTTTTATAGTAAAAATACCAGCAATGCATTTTTGAAAAAAAACAAAAAAAAACACCAGTAATGTATTTTTCGTAAAAGAAATTACTATTTCTCCTAAGAAAATTAAATTTCAGTGTTAAATGACCCATAAGGTGTTGATATGCCACTAAACAGACAAACTATTAAACAGTATATTTCTTTGTTTGTCTACTGACCTGAATATTTGAGTAATCTTATTAAAGAAAACTGTGCGTCCTCTGGCAGAATTTGAACTTTTTTGTTCCCTAGTAGAAAAATCCAGCATCTGTAGATCGAAAATGCTTATACTGATTTGTCCACAAAGAACTTTTGTTGCTCAGGCAAGGCTGAAATATATAGTGACATTATCATTGACACTTGCAGCCAAAAAGAGAAAAAAGAACAAATAGGGAGAGTGAAAGTAAAGGATGAAAAAGAGAAATAACCATGTCATTTGACACGGGCACACGTGTGTGTGTGTGCACACACAAACACGTGCCCACACACGAAAAGAAAGAAAGAAAAAAAAAAAAAATCAACCTATCCCCAATAATAGTAGCATCCCAATTAGTGCATAAATTAATTACGTCAAACAAAACAACAAAAAATGAAAAAAAAAAAAATTCACTTAAACCTTCTGATAAGTTGACTGAACAATTATGAAAAAGTTAATCCACGAAACTCCAGAGCTGGGATGCTGAATATAAAATATATCAGCATTGTGACAAATTTTAATGTAGTATATATATATATATATATATATATATATATATATATATATATATATATATATATATATATATATTTAGTAATTAGTCGGAGGATTTGATAAATTTAATTAATTCATCGAGTCTGATAGAAACCTCTACAGAATGCAGAAAGCACTGGACGGCCGTTTTATCCTATATTTGGGACTCATCAGCAGTGTGCATCCACTACCGAGAATTGAAACCCTGACAGTTAGGTTGTCAAGCGAACATCATACCAACTGTTCCCGTGGGCCTCGGTTGTGAAGAGATTGCAAACCAGACTCAACAAAGCACCGCTTCGCTCACATATTCTGTGGCGGAACTCGACTGAGATTCTCTGTAACCATAGGACTTTGCCCCTGGAGCCCGACTACTCTCACCAAGCCGCTACCAACTGGAGCATTAGAAGCCGGTTCAAGCGATGATAAACACAAATAGTAATTAGTCGGAGGATTTGATAAATTTAATTAATTCATCGAGTCTGATAGAAACCTCAACAGGATGCAGAAAAGTTACCTAAAAATTGACTAGTCCTATCAAATTTAAGAAAGTGATCAATATCTAAGCCGTAGAGCAATATTAAGAAAGTTTATCTTTAAAAGTTATAGTTACCTCATCATACTACTGCTGTTTCATCTCTCAGATCTTCAGGCTGGTTTTGTGTGTATGTGTTTGTAATATATATATATATATAGTAAAGGTAAAATAATTCTGTGGGTGTGTAATCCAAGTGGGTCATAGTAATATAAATATATTAAAATTGATCCACAAAAAGAAAGCTCGATGTATTTTGTTTGTACAGAGCAGTATGATTAATAATCAAAAAAAAAATTCTCATGTGGGGAATAGGCTATTTTGGCAGACACTAAAAGTGGTAGTCTGTCTTTTCAGTTCCGATATGGAATGGAATTCACATCCGTAGAGCTAGAGGAAGTATGAACTTTTTATCTGCTGAAAGAGCTTATTTCCCAAATGAGGTAAAAAGAATTTTTTTTTTTTTTTGATTATTCATTTTTATATATATATATATATATCTGGCCACTTGTATTTGTGGATACCCGTCTATTAGGGCGACTAGCCAATCCCTGTTGCAGACGCTCACTCAGGTATTCCAAAGCTGGTTAGAGTATTTGTGTTTGTTCAACACCCACAGAGACCACCTGTGGTTTATACTGCAACTATGCTGAGCAGACCTTAGTTACAGTTTCTATGAGAGTGTGTGTGTGTTATGTAGCATGATCAACAATCTGAAAAAGGCCAACACGCTTAAACCCTTGGTCACGATGACTTGTGACTTTGTGCTAGCAACGGCACCCAAGGCTTCTGTCTACTTAATTTCACTCACATGGTTGTATGGTTTTCATGCACTTTTGAAAGGTTCCGCACACTGGGATTGCCCCTTCCATACTGATAAGATCAGGAAGTCTACTTCCTGACAAATCAACCATGTTGAAAGTTGAACCTAGGTCTCATGGTCAAAAAGCAAACTTTTTAACCACTCGCCTACATACCCCCACACGTGTGTGTGTGTGTGCATGCACACGTGACAAACTAAAGTCTTGGTAAAACCTGTGCCTGTGACCCTACCAAGACAGTTTGTCAAACAAATTCAGTAAAAGTGACAAAATAGGACAAAAATAAAAACTGAAAACTAATAAATAAAAAGAACCAACTAAAAGAAAAGATATATGCAAGAACAGACACTTACCTTTTTATACGCAGTGTACAAATCAAGTAAGACATAGGTGTGACACTGTGCATGTAAGATTAAAAAAAAAAAAAAAAAAAAAGACATACGATTATTCCAGTTTCACAAAACTTGAATAGCAGTTTATATATACCAACTTGTCTATAAATTCTAATTTTGGTTTCTTGGATTATTTCCTACCTTCATATAGCTGACACCTACCCACAAAATCAAGTTTATTAGTCATCTATACGAAGGTAGAATAATAATTATGCCACAAGTATGGGGCTCCAGGGGAAGATAAAATTATCAGATTTAACTTTTAATGAATTTATTTTTTAAGGTATTAGTTTGATAAATTTCGAACTTCATCCTTAAGTCAAATTCTTTTTCTGTTTTGTCTTTCTTTTTCTGTTTTGTCTTTCTTTTTCTGTTTTGTCTGTCTTTTTTGTTTTTCTGTTTTGTCTTTCTTTTTCTGTTTTGTCTTTTTTCTGTTTTGTCTTTTTTTTTCTGTTCTTTCTTTTTCTGTTTTGTCTTTTTTTCTGTCTTTTTTTCTGTTTTGTCTTTCTTTTTCTGTTTTGTCTTTCTTTTTCTGTTTTGTCTTTCTTTTTCTGTTTTGTCTTTCTTTTTCTGTTTTGTCTTTCTTTTTCTGTTTTGTCTTTCTTTTTCTGTTTTGTCTTTCTTTTTTCTTTCTTTTTCTGTTTTGTCTTTCTTTTTCTGTTTTTCTTTCTTTTTTGTTTTGTCTCTTTCTTTTTTTGTTTTTCTTTTTTCTTTTCTGTTTTTTTTCTTTTTTTGTCTTTTTTTTCTGTTTTGTCTTTTTCTGTTTTTTCTTTTTTGTCTTTCTTTTTCTGTTTTGTCTTTCTTTTCTGTCTTTTTTGTCTTTCTTTTCTGTTTTTCTTTCTTTTTTTTTTGTTTTTTCTTTTTCTGTTTTTTGTCTTTTCTTTTCTGTTTTGTCTTTCTTTTTATCTTCCATAATCTCTTTCCTTCCTTTCATTTTTCTTTATAATTTCCCACCTTTCATCTCTCTCCCTATAATTTCCTTTTGTCTCCATTTTTATTTATTCCATTTCCTCCTTTTTGCACCCCCGACACATTTCTTTTGAAAATGAAAGACCCTGATTTTAGAGAAAGTAAATAACCCACTCATTTAGTTATCAGAAAATCCCACATATATTCTCCACCCTGCAACTCTTGTCTGACAGACATAAATTATTACTATATCAGATGTTACAATGAGTCACATTCCTTACTCCCACCAGCTCCAACCCTGACAGCTAGGACCCAGCATGCTATGTGCATGGCAGCAAACCATCCTCATGCCTGTCATATTCCTTCAATAAAAAGCAAGTTCCACTCTAACCACTTCTTTCTTGGAGCTATTACTTTGTGGAACAAACTCATGGTTGCTTCTTTGACAATTAAAATCTTGGTTTCTATCTATCTTATGCATTCCCCCCTCATTCCTCCACCTAGCTTAGTAACCCTCTACCTTGAGAGGCTTGTGGGTCTTGTATCATGTGAGCTAACTCTGTAAAAAAAGAAGAAACCTCATTTTATAGAAAAGCAATATATGATTTTTCCATTACACCGCAAAAGATTCTTCCATCATTGACACTTGTTTTTGTAATTATCCATTCAGTCATGACTTCACCCCACTCCCTCCATATAAATATAGAAATACTGTCTGTTTTTATAATCAGGAGAAATTCTTTTTGATCTGTGATGCCATCTCTTAATGCTGTGATTGTGGATGGGTGGATGTATTTTTTTCTTTCTTTTCTCCTCACCCCCTTTCTTTTCATCAATTAAACCCTACCCTACCAACTCTTAAATGATTCTCATAAGTTTCTCTCATTTTGTTTCCTATCAATTGTCTCTTTTTTATTGATCTTTTATGACTTTAATGAAATTGGAGATAGCAAAATCAAGCAAGTATAACAATTTAAATATCTGAAAAGTGCTTTACCAGAATACAGAAAATCCAACAATGTAATCTGAAGATGTATTGGAATAGAGAATGATGCCTTCCAAAAGCTAAAGAAAGTATTAAGAAACAGGAAGATTTCGTTAGAAACAAAGATAAGAATGATGAACTTCTATGTAATATCAATCCTCCTATATGGCAGTGAATGCTGGACAATCTCCTCATGTCTTCCAAAAGCTAAACAAAGTATTAAGAAACAGGAAGATTTCGTTAGAAAGAAAGAAAAGAGAGATGAACTTCTATGTAATATCAATCCTCCTATATGGCAGTGAATGCTGGACAATTTCCTCACAAATGATGTGACAAGAAACAGTAGAAATGTCTTTCTACAGAAGGATACTAAGAATACCATGTATCAAACGTGATCACTGACAAAGGTTTTGAGAATATGGAAACAAAAGGAAACTTAAAATTGAAACTGGGAATCAAACCTATGTCTTTTTTTCCATCAGGGAAACCTTTCGGAATTACTTATTTAAGGAAAGCATGTTTTTATTCCAACCTTGCCCTGTCAGCTGCTCTCTAAGGCCAAACTGGTGGAGGCTGGTTATTATTAATTTTATTGTTTAAGGAAAAGAAAAAAATTGGGTTAGCAACTCAAATGCACGTACTTACCGAAAATAATGTTTATTCTAATATATATAATTCTATGTTTTACCAGTTTGTGACTGGAAGAGATAATTTCGAGGAGAATATAAATCTAGGGAGAGCTCAATGCACATTACAGAGCAATATAATAATAAGACTGAGACTTTAATTATCCATTTCATTTATAATTTTTATTTTGTGATCACCGAGGTATTCAGCTCATCAGAATGAAAACTTCTCCACATATGTACGTGTGTGTATGTACGTGTGTGTATGTACGTGTGTGTATGTATGTGTGTGTTTTGTAAATATTTTATATGCGCAGTACTTAGTGGAAAGTAGAATTACAAACGCACATGTATCTATGTCTAAACGCATGGGTGTGTATCTGTGCCTAGCCTCAGGTTGTTTATATGGATGTGTTTGTATGAACTAAAATGTGTACACCTGTATATATGTGTGTCTATGTGTATGAGAGTGTCATCCCAAACAAATGCAGAGATAAATTCCCCCCTCCTACTACCAAACATAGTCAAACAAGTATGAATAGATCCAATTTAAAAAAAAAATAAACCAGTTTGTCTGATCATCACTAAAGTTTGAAACTCAAGGTCGCAAACTTATATCCATACAACTGAATATATATATATATATATATATATATATACACACCCAAGTATATAATTGGTATATATGGAATGAATTCCAATAACCAACAATTACTATTCTTAAAAGAGTGCTCAATACAAAGTAGAGCAGATATAATTATTATTTATAAAAAAATTATAACATAACATACTTATGTTATAATTTTTTATATATATATATATATATATATATATATATATATATATTGTGTGTATGCACACACTGTAATTCCCCATGTATAATACGTCTTCATCCATAATACACACTCCTAAAATTGTGTTGAAATTTTTGGAAAATGCTTCTATTCACGCTTAATACACACCACTTGTTTGGTAATCAAACCCTATAAACCGTACCTCTCCAATTTCATTACAACCAGCATTTCCTACTCTTCTTTAAAAAACGGTTTCAAACATAGAATAATATTATTCTAATTTAGTTTTATGATAGTTCTTATTTTATTTTACATTTATAAGTATTTTTAGGTACATCTGATTGTTATGAGGTCACAATCACCTAATGTAAGTGTCAAATTTTGTATGTTTGTGGTGTGTAGTCATTTTGTAACTGAAATCGACCTATAACATGGCAATATTTTTTTTTTTTTCTAGCTGTGAATAATACACACACCTAATATACATGGGGGAATTATGGTGCGCACACATACACACGCACATCTATATATTATATATAATAAAAAGGCTTAAACTAAAAACATACATCCATACATACACACACACACACACACACACACACACACACACATATATATATATATATATATATATATATATATATATATATATTTTTTTTTTTTTTTTTTTTGCATGAATGATTCATGAATTTATAAATTAAAATTGCACCTATAATTGAAATTAAAATAACTGATCCAACGTGCAACTTTCGGATAATAAGTGTGACATTACTGTAATTATTGAACAATATAGTTCATGCCACATTGACGGAAAACCTACCAGTAAAAAAGAATTCTCTTACTTTATTTGTACAAAAATGCACAACCTTAAAATTTAAAATTCAAACTCGGCGTTGTGACCGCACGTTCCAAAACAATCACACATTTCTCATAGCATTTTTTCGGATTACATCTATATTTTCGTTGTCCTCTTATTACTGAGAAGTAAAAACAGGAACAAATCTATTTCCATACCTGAGGATGTCTGTATGAACAGACGAAAGCTTGTAAAAAAATTAAAAAGACCTTATGCAACTGGAATTTATAAACAGGGATCATATCATTCATATACAAGTTCAGGGTTGGTGTATCTTATTGATATTGTTTGTGAAGATGTATTCTCGCCATTTAAATCATTAACCTCTATATTTGATTTTTTTTTTTTTTTTTTTTTTTTTGTGTATGAATGATTCATTATATATATATATATATATATATATATATATGTCTTAAGGTGTGCTATATTTATGGGATAAAGTGCTCAATATCAGATAGAGCGTGTGTAAATATGAAAGTGAACATAGAAGTCAACACTTAGAGGCGACATTCTGTTTCATGCTATATGCAATCGTCAGGCCACGTGTGCTGTTATTTTTTTTCTATATATATATATATATATA